GAGGGCAGCGGCGCTGACCATGTTTGCGGGCTGCAGGGACCGAACCGCGTCCGGGGGGGAAGGCGACACAGGCGGGCGGTGCCGCAGAGGGCGGCGGCGCGGACCGGGCGCGACGCGCAGGGGCGAGTAACGTGTGGTAGGACGAGGGGGCAAGGGGCGACAAAGACCGGAGAGAAGACGGGAGAGTTAGCGCAGAGGGAGGGGGAGCAGCGGGGCGGGGAACGACAGCGTGTGCAGAACGAGGAGCGGAGGAGGAAGGGACCAGGCTTGGCGCGCGAAGCGCGCACGGAGCCCACTTTCCCCGCGTATACTAATTTACGTGTCTGTCTGTCTGTGTGTTTGTGTATGTGTGTTCGTGCGCTCCGGCACGCGTTGCCATTGGCGCACGGGCGACACGTGGCTAAAATCCGTGTCTGTGTGTGTGTCTGTATGTCCTTGCGCTCCCGCGTTGCCATTGGCGCACGGGGGCGGCGCCGCGGTGACAAGTGGCGGCCACGTGCGCGGCGGCCTGGCCGCAGGCCAGGCGGCAACGGGGACACGTGGCGGTGGCAAGTGATGGGGGGCTGCGGGGCGGCCTGGCCGCTGGCCAAGCGGCCACCAAGGACACGTGGTGGCTACGGGATGGGCAGAAATTACGTGGGTCATTTAAAAATTCCGCATGACCTCAGAGGCGGCAGCGGCGAGGGGAAAGGGTGTGTCACTGGCGGGGGGCGAGGGGGCCCGCATGGCCACGCTATCGCGAGGGTCGCGCACGGTGGGTGAAGGCAGAGGCCGCTGACGAGGCCCGAGAAGTGGGTGCGGAGCGCGTGCGGATGGGGCCGGACCGCGCCCGGGGGGGAAGGAGGTGGCGGCGAGCGCGGGCGCGAGAGGCAGGGGTGAGGAACGCCGACGACCGTCGCTGCGAGGCGGGCAGGTGTCGCAGCCGCCAGCGCAAGAAGACGCGCGCGGGTGAGGGGGGGCCGGGAATTGACGCCGAGACGGTCGCGCTGCGCTCCTTCCGCGGGGTTCGCAGCGTACGAGAGGGAAGATTGACTAACTGCGATGACAGTGAGTGCGGCAGCGGCACCGCGACGGACGAGAAGGAGGGCCTACGGAAACAGCGTGCAGAGGGGAAGGTGGCTGTGATCGGCTTGATCAAGAAGAGGCGGGCAGGCGGGGGATGGGGGAAGCGCATCATAAGGGGAGGAGGGATCGTTGGGCGGTCAAAGGAGGCAGGAGGGGAGGGGAACCAGGAGAGCGGAGGGCGGGAGAGTCTCTGAGAGCGCACACGACGAAGCAGCGGAAGCGGCAGCAGTAGCAAGGGTGGGGACGTCGGGAGCAGTAACTGCAAAGGTCAGAGCAGGAAGCCGAGCAGGAGGTGCACAGGCGGCGAAATGGGTGGAGCGGAAGGCGAGGTGGGGGTGCAAGCCCGGGCACGCGAGGCGACGGTTACTTGGGGGCGGCAAGAGCAGCAGCAGGGGCGGAGGCCGGCGACGGAGAGGGCAAGGCCGCCGCAGGGCGGGAGGGAGCGGGGCGAGCCGCACGAGTAGAGGGGCCTGGTGGAGTAGGGCGGGGCGGCGGGTGAGGTGTGATTGCGCGTGCGTGTGCCTAGAGCGTGAGAGCCATAGAATAACGAATGGTAGGTGCACGGAAGTGGGAGTGCGGGGATTGAGGAAGCGAACCGCTTCGCGGCGTAGGCGCCAGGCAACGTGGGCGGCGGCGAAACAGTCGAGAGCAGAAGCGGGGAGAGGGAGGGGGCAGTGTGGGCGGGGGGCCACGGGTTTGCCGGTACGGAGGTTGAGGCGGACGGGAGTGCCAACTGTAGCGACCAGGGTAACGGCCTGGGCAAGGGTGGCGAGCAGGACTGAGGCGAGTGTGGCGAGAGCAGCGCGATCTGCAGCCAGAGTGAGCACGGAGGGGCGGTAGGCGTGGCAGGACGAGGGGGAAAGAGGCGACGAAGACCGGAGAGAGGACGAGAGCAGTAGCGAAGAGGACGGAGGAGCGTCGGGGCGGGGAACGCCGGCAACGATGGTGGACCAGAGACGAAGGGACGGCGGAGCGGGAGGGGCGGAGCGAGGAGCGGAGAAAGAAGGGATTTGGCTCGGCGCGCGAAGCGCGCACGGAGCCCACTTGTCCCCGCGTATACTAAAATCCGTGTCTGTCTGTGTGTGTGTTTGTGTATGTGTGTTCGTGCGCTCCCGCACGGGTTCTCATTGGCGCACGGGGGCGCTGCGGCGACAAGTGGCGGCCACGTGCGGGGCGGCCTGGCCGCATGGCGCACGGGGGCGCTGCGGCGACAAGTGGCGGCCACGTGCGGGGCGGACTGGCGGCATGGCGCACGGGGGCGCTGCGGCGACAAGTGGCGGCCACGTGCGGGGCGGCCTGGCCGCAGGCCACGCGGCCACGCGGACACGTGTAGAAAGCGGCGGGGCCGTGATTTAATTTCATTTTTTACTACAGTGACAAATGTACTGT